CAAATTGCAATATTCACTGGAAAAGCTAAGGTTTTGCTATTCAAACCCAGGTTGTTCTTAATAAAAATAACTGTTATATTTGGTGACTTATACTTATGTTAAAAGACCTTAAAGACCGTACGTTACTGACAACTGTAGTTGAAAGCCTTCATGCGGTCTCCCACTTTAAAGACGAGACTTTCACAGCTTTACAGTATGCTCGAGACTTTGGCACAATTGCAAAAGAATCATTAAAAAGAACGACAAAGTGGAGCGCCAAATACTTTACACCTGTGACATGACAAATCGTTTTATCCAGTTCCAACATCTAGTATGGAGTTGGCAGATGTTGAAGTGATGAAGCCTCTAACAGCTGCAAGGATAGATCCTCCAATTGAAGTAGCCATGAAGGAGTTGGCGGACAAATATCGTCCTGTGAGGCAGAGAACAGTGCGGAGTGAAACCAGAAAAGACATAGCCAGAGCTCTCCCACCAGCAGTGTATTACGCTCAACCTCCTCGTTCCAAAGTAATGTTCCACGACGACTCAACTGTTGAAGGTCAAGAAGGAATGGAACAAATTATGCCGCAAGTCACAGATGACGATGGAGACTCGCACGTACCCAGCATCACGTTTGTGAACGATAGCGCGGTTGAAATAGTTGCCGTTGGTAAAGTGCCAGATCTAGAGGATGAATACGACACTGACTCAGGCAGTGATATGGATGATGACGATCACGACTCCTACCCCCACAGAACAACACTCACCAGGTCTGGTCGCGCCATTCGCGCTCATTTTCGCCTTGACTTGTGGAGTTTGCACGATCGGGCGTGCGCATATGCATTACCTTGTGAATGACACTCTGATCCAGAGTTAATTAAATGAAAACCCGAAAATAGCGCTATAAATAGCCCGGGAAGGCAAGGGGAGTTCAGATTCAAAGGCTGGCTTGCTGTTGATACATGTGCTAAGAAACGAGAGGATTGGCTAGTGAGGACGCAAAAGTCTATTTCCCGGTAGGTAAAAGGAGCATGATGATTGATTAAACAAATTTTTGAAATGAAAGGTTGCAAAAGTGTAATAACGACAGAGGAAAATTTTCATTGTCGAGCATAATGTACCCTTCTGCTGAGAAGTAGTCTTCCATGATTTTCCATGATAGAAACATAAACAATGAACAAAACCCAAAATTGTAATCAAAATGACACAGTCGGTAAATTAATTGTAGATATTATTCCATATCGAATGTCCACGTTTGTCTTGATTAGTATCTTTCGCTTTTTTAAGCCATTTGCGCTTACATTTGTATCAAATTTAGTGTTACAGTGAATTTTTTAGTGTTAGATGTTAAACAGCCTAAAATTGAACTGTATGATGTTATAGATGGAAAAATTTTAGTGTTTAGTGCTTTCGAGGCACCCCCATCCAGACCCTCTTTTTTTTACGGCAAAAGAGACTCGACATCACTACCATCGTCACCATCTTTTTTTCTACTGAATGCATGTTACAAATAGATACTGTCTTTCCGTCTATAATTGTTTCTGCCACCACCGCCTGTTGCCTTTCGCTGATTTGATCGCCAGCATACACTTAGGCAAGACTGAGAAGGAAACTTGGCGCGGGTGCAAAAGCGTATCATGGGAGTGGTAGGGGAGGGAGCGGAGGAATGAAGTGAAGAAAATACTTTCGCAACCCCGGTGCCATCCTTCCATAGACTTTTTACAACTCTGGACTTTTATGTATTTCATGCAGAATTTTAACTATATCATAAGTTGACAAAATATTGTGCGCAGCCGAAAAATGTTCTCACGTGAATATATGGACGAACATATATACCAACTCCTTGGGTGGCTTAAGGTGATTCCTTGGTATTGTAATGCGCATCCTGCACTGTGCATAAAAATCGCGCGAATAAGCGCGCGCATTCTGAGAACGTGGTATTGTTTTTCAATCGATGGAAGAGGTGAACAGGTAAGGTAATCTCTTGCTCTTGAACGACTATGGTAACCTATATTTTATCTCTTGAATAATTTTGCTTTACCAATTATCCCCCTTGATTTGAAGAAATTAAAGAGAAATTTATCGGGGGTAAAAAAATATAGCTAAATGCGTTCACTTAGCCCAATGCTCGGGGTCGCAAAATTATGACCTTATTGTTCCATACGCTACACACTTTCTAGCGAGTAGGTATATATTATTTCAAATTTTACTTTAAACACCCTTGCCTCTAGCTACCGCAAAATGTGTGCGATCAGTACCACGACTAGCACAGTCCAACCTTGATTGTTTGGACCAAATTCGTAACAAACTTTTCCAAAACAAAGCAAATGTATTGAAACAATGTTGACACTATTCTATAAATGCAGCTTCAAACTGAATAACGTTGCAGCTTCAAATAATGTTACACGAATCAAGATGATCCAGATTCAACTGTACAGGCATAAATGGCGTAAAATGGGGTAAGGTTGACCCATCATATCATAGTTTCATTGTAGTTTTCGAAAAGAGACATTGGTGGGGAACTTTTAGGCAAAACTAAAAAAAAAAAATTGTTCAAGAACTTTTTCAATAACCTATTGTTTCAGATTTTACATGTTTTGGGTTCACCCTCGGATGAATTCAGCTTCAAGATAAATATGCTGTATGGAGGTTCGTTTCCCGAAGAAATGCAATCTCCAAAACATGATTACTGTTTTGGTTACGCGCTCGTACGACCAACTGGTTCCTGGTCATTTGCGGAAAGACTGTCTGATATTGTGGATCTGAAAAAATTGGAGGAAACGGAAAACAGTGTCAAGAAGATGGACATCACCGCCGCCTTGCAGCACATAAAACACGTGATACAGCCAGATATGGCTTTAGTCCATTTCGTTTGTTTGAAAGGAATAACAACTTACAGGTCAGATTTGGGGGGTTGGTTTCGTTTCACTTTGATATAGTTTGTCTCGTCTGGTTTTAATGACTAGTTCTGTGACTTTTGCATAATTTTTCGAGTTCTTCTAAATTCTCTATTCTAACGTTTTGCACGAAACAACTTAGTTTACGCAAATTAAGTCGTGTGTTTCGCCACCAACGTTAAATTTTTGATGTGTGTTGATGATCTTACACAACTGTTCCATGCCCCTGCCATATAATACACTTGCTTGGAATATTACAGAAGTGGTCAGTAAATAGATCTCTTTCAGAATCGCGCGCATGATTCTTATTCTTTGTGTGTATACAAAGCCTTCCTGGCCTCGCATCTGAGTGAAAACTTAGACATGTTGCGGAGAACAGAAAGGCTAATTTACATGAATCCAAGAGAATGGCAACTGAACTAGTTTCGCCATGCATGAAAGAGATCTATTATCTTTAATACTGAAAGAGGCTTTTCGTTTCCTTTTCCACAGGGCACTCTTTGATGCATTGAATATTCCATTAATGGCCGGATCAGTGGAGTCGCGATATCTCGCCATGGACAAACTCATTACACGCAGTGTTTTAGTCTCTTACGGCAATGTTTCATGCCCTGATGGATTTATTTACAACAAAGGTACAAACAAAACAGTACTCTTGTGAGGGAAAATGCTTATGTATAGACCCCTTTTTGACTCCCTCGCAAGCTCTCGTACTCTGCCAATCCCTCCAAGTGAAAAATGAATCATATAATTAACAAAAAAAAAGGTCAAAATACGGAGTGGATTAAGGTTTTGAAAAAAAACTCTCAGGAAAGAGAAGAGAGATTTCTTTTGGGGCCAGAGGACAAATTACGCCTGGTTTATACCTTACTAAGTCTGTCCTGTTTTGATAGCACCACTGCGAATAAAAAAAGGAATCGTATTAATTTGTATCCGTAAGTTTAGACCGTTTTACTTTGAGACCCCTTGCTCTTCCTTGTAGACGCTAGTGGCTCACCATCGACTAATAATAATAATTCCAAAAAAAAAAGGTAATGATAAGTAATTAAAATGTTTGACTTTAGAGAATTACTTTGCCACAGGTGACATTCTACAGTCTGAACAAGTGAAGTATCCATGTGTTGTTAAAGCAAGTAAAGGAGAAGACACCAAAGCAGTTCGATTAGTGAAAGACTCAGAGTTTCTCAACGCAGCTATTGAGCATGCGTTATCGTATTCAGATCATGTGATCATTGAAAGGTAGGTATCGCCGATAAGTAAGTGTCGTAGTCGAGGAAGGGTGTAGAAGTGAAAATGGTTTTGCTATTTTGACCGTGATGATATTGATCTGCTTCACCAATAAGCCAAGTTGTCGTCAAGCTTATATGTGGAGGAAACTGTAAACAATTTTAGGAATGCAGAATCATAGTAGCCCTAGTACGTTTTACTATTGAAAAGTTAATCCTGTCAACGATTTTGACCGATTTTCTCTTTCGTTTCTTTTTCCCATATTTCCTCAGGTACATAGAGGGACGGGAAATTCGCTGCGCTGTTGTTGAATCAACAACAACTGGAGAATTAAAAGCGTTGTCGTGTTTGGAGTACAAAGTACGAGAAAATGACATTCGAAGAACTGAAGACAAGTACATCTGCAATGAAAAAGGATTGCCTGTTTGTAAGTCTTTGAGATGTGTGTCCTTCAACAATACTGGTTGAGTGTCATTACTGAACAAATGTGCCACGAAGCCACATTTTCAGGGCGACCCCAAGTTAATTGGGATCCCAGCTCAGAATTATTTTAAATCTCAAATAGAGGTTTTGCACGCGTCATGTGATCCCATAGCAACCGTAACAATGCCCCCATAAAACAACATGGCTGCTGTCAAAGGCGATCGCGGCCATCTTCAGGCGAGGTTATCGCGATTCCCTCAGTGCTGAGAATCGAAAAATATACGGCGAGAAGTTTAAATTTATTGCAGGAATAGATCCCTACTCTGTAAGTGCCAACTTTTCCTCGATCAATGGATAAAAGGCCTAAGGTCAGGTTTGGTGATAGAGTGAACTACTTTCTATTCTAAAGTAGAAATTTTGTGAAGGAACAAATCAAAGCCTACAAAAGTGTTTAGTCCTACCAAAACCTCGTTTCTGGTTAGGGACAGAGCTAAAGTGAATATTAATCTCATAAATATGAATTGAGACATCTATAACAGAGAGGTCCACACTGGGCTGAGACAGGTGACATATTTATTAATCCGTTTTCCTAGATTGAAAAATTTGTTTAGTATGCAAGACATAAGACAAGGTTAGCGGCCACGCCCATGCCGCGCTAGCACTTTTTCTAATTGCGATTTTTTAAATTTCAAATAGCGTACAAAGTCATTTCTCTGAAACCTCACATTTAAACTTCTGCCTATCACCTGAAACTCAGCCGGTAGTCATCAAGCATCCTCGTTGACACTCATCACAACTTAACCCGCTCTCAACATCGTAGGTCGTTTGATAATAGCGCCTAATACTATTCCAATCAGGATACTTTTTCATGGGAAAAGTTTTTTTAACCAGATGGTATTAGCAATTTACTTTTTCCTATGTTTGTCTTCATTGTAGCCAAACCTCCAGAAGCTAAAACATGGTTTCTCGATCCCACAAAAGAAGAGAAGCTGATACATCGCATTCAACAACAAAGTTGCCGAGCGTTTCGAGAGTTAGGTTTACAAGATTTTGGTTTATTCGACTTCCGAGTAGACCTTGAAGGAAATCCATTCCTTCTAGAATGCAACTTATTCTGTTCCTTTGGTCCACAGAGTGTTGTCAATATAATCGCCAAGGAGTCAGGTTTTACAGATGAAAGTTTGTTTGACATGATGGTGGAGAATACTTTGCTGCGCAAGCGTAAACAGGAGAATAACAATGTTAATCTGTGATAAAGTCAACGAAATCACAACACTAACAAAATGCAAGCTAGCGTTGTTATGTAAATCACTCCATTTTCCCTTAAGAAATTGCGTATAAAAGAGTGGGGAGTTTGACTTGGCTGTAAGACTTCTTTATTTTTGCCATTGATAGATTATGAATATGGGAACTGAACTAAAAGAATCTTGAACAAAAAATATTTACTCGAGTCACTATACTTTGGTTGTCACCAATGCATCAGTAAAACTTTCGAGGTAAAAGGAACATATGAGTATCAAGCAAAGGTAGCCGTAAGAAATTTAAAGCCACTATATCTTGGTCAGGGATTCCTTAATTAGCTTACGAACCTCTTCATGTTGCTTATCCAGCGACTTGTGTCGAGAGATGTTGAGTCAATTGCGATTAACCTAAGAGAAAGAACGACACTGATTCCAATTTTACATTAAATATACAAAGTTTACCACCAAACGCGAATCACCCTCGTATTAACCACTGCATCAGAACTGAGCGCCTGCATTCTCAACAGCAAGCAAATCGTGCGGAAAATTTCAAGAAGATCCTTTATATTTGAATGTGCAAAGAAATGAAGACGGGATATTAGAGTGTAGAGGAAGAATTCAAGGCCATTACCCATTTTCTGCGAGACCCCTCGCTTGTCACTCGCAAGTTAGTTCACCGATCATATGTCTACAAAACGCACGTAAGCTATGACTGGCTATCGTGCCCAAGGGAACCCGTGAAACAAGTTCTCAGAGTGTATTCAGGCTGCAAGCGCTTTAAGGCTATAGCACTGGCAACACCGCCCCCTGGACTCCTTCCCACTGACCGTGCAGAGGGTAGCACCCCATTCGAAGTTGTAGGATTTGATTTTGCAGGGTCCATCAAGTACCGTGTCAGAGCCAAAACAGGAGGGAAGGCCTATCTTGCGTTGTACGCAAGAAGCCTTACACGAGGATTATAGTACTACCAAACTTGGGAGACCAGTTGGAATTCTTTCGGAGTTTAAAACGGCTCATAGCACGTCGTGGTCGTCTGGAGAAGATATATTCCGAAAATCGGCGCCTAATAGTTGCTCAAATTATGCCGTGGAGACTACTTAGCACATAAGAACAGTAAGCGCCAATTCATCTTAGCCGCGCCTCTAGGTGGGGAGGACAGTTCGAGTGCCTCATCGGACTTGTGAAAACAGCTTTAAACCAGACAGAACTATACGAAGTGGTACTGGATGTGGAGATTGCTTACAACAACTGCTCTTTACATTACATCGAAGACGACATACAGTTACCAGTGCTAACCAGTGCTAGCCCCTGACTCACTTCGATCAAACCAGCTACCAGAACTGGAACCACACCTGCTAAGGGTATTTGATCTGCTCAAAAGAACCAAGTTTCTGCAAAAGTGCCAATAGGCATTGTGGTCCAGACGGACAACCAAATGTTTGTGAGAGTAGAGAGAACGACACCACTTGAAACACAGGGACAAACTACTCACTTGGCAAAAGTCATCATCATCGAGGACGAGGCACGAAATCGTAACAAATGGAAAATTGGAATCGTGGAAGATCTGATTTCGGGACGAGACGATGTCGTTCGAGCTGCCAAACTTCGAGCGGGAAAAGAACACTCGAACGGACGGTACAGCACCTCTACCTACTGGAGCTGTCCTGCGACTGAAGACGACATACAGTTAGCAGAGCTGAGCGCTTGCATCCCTTTATACAACCGCGTTCGCTTGGATTACATTTTTAACTGAAAATCTCATCCTTTTCAGCTAAAGGATTCTTAACAAGTACAGAATTCTCCTTAAAATATCAATACATTATCAAGCAGACAAATTGTGAGAATACAGATAAATAACAATTGCATGGGGATCTATAAGTTAATCTAATAACAAATTCTCCAAATTAATATCAATTATTGTATAGCAAACTGTAAGGAGATCTTGGGAGCGGAAGGGAATGTTCGAATATTGCGTAGGCAAGAGGTTGTACACTGTTTATAATCATCTTTTAGCGTAAGGCACTCATTAAAATCGGTAGTTTGTGATACTTACAAGCTACTTTTGAACTTAATATATTTAAGGGCTAATTTTCAATTTTACGTAAAATCAGAAACATTTCCGACATTAAAGGCTTCCTGTCCAGATGAATTCGGCCCGATGGGACCCAATGGGGCACATGAAAATGTTCGCTCTGTCTTTTTCACAGACCAAAGTGAATGACAGACTGTAACTTTTAGCGTAAGCTAAATTTGAAAGGAGTTCCTACTCTTCATTTAAGTGTTGTTTAAACGTATCTAGAAAAATAGGCTTAGTATTGTAATTTCAGACGGCTGGATTAATGTTATTAGTGATTTTCAATAAGTAGCAGCATAATGTCTGTCCATTCATTGAATATGATAACTGCTATCGAAACGTTCGATAGATTATCATTCAGAGCAAGCGTGTTTTTGTTGCCGAAAATACTGACTCCCCTTCTGCAAGCCTGATCGATTGAGAATTAGTTCGTTTGGCCTTTGTTTATCGTTTTGTAAAGACAAGCCACCTCATAATTTAATGAGTGTTGCCGAGAATGGCCTTCATAAAAGTTATATCGAAGAAATATCCATTGTTTCCTTCCCTGTCCTGCATATTGGTTGCTTTACATAGTACGCATCATAGTCGCATCATGTTGATTTGCAAGAAGTATGCACTAATGGCCGACTCGCTGGTGACTGGGCCACCAAGTTGGCTGTCCCAGTTTGCTCGGGCGTGTCAACCCCGGGCCTAAACAGCACAATGTTACACAAACAGGACTGACTGCTGTCGAAGGAAAGCCAAAGTTCCGAGTTCCAAACTTTTTGTCCATTGCTTTGTATGTCTTTCTTCAGTCCACATGTATACACTACAAGAGCCGTGATTCTACTACTTTTGAGCCTTCTTCTCTAGAACAAGATCAACTTTTCAACACATAGCAAGTGAAATTCAATGCTTAACTCGTGTTTTATTGTTATTCGATACTCATCCCCTCATTCGGTATTTTTACAAACTCAATATGTAGCATGAGTATAATTACTCAGATGGTTATAGAAATTCTCGCGCTCTTATTGGCCGAGAATGGCGTCATATTTCGCTATAATCACTTCCGGCGAGGTTATTATAGCGGGAGGACAAATGTTCAAAATGGCCGCCTCGCGCTTTGTCTATGTGTCTGAAGAGGAAATTAATTTAAACACGAAGGCGCGCTATATAAGGAAGTCTTCCCTGGGAAGACCTAGGCTCATTTGTCACTCACCGTTGACGTGTGCGGGTCAAATTCAAATGCTCGTATACGAACAAAATGAGCTAATGAGATATCTATTGTTTACTTCCACCAGCATGGTGGCAATGAGGTAACGTGCGAACCACCTACTTCGATCTCAAATTTACCGCCACAAATAAAGACAGTTTCCGTTGGAGAAAGGAAATACAAATCTCAAAAATTCTTGTATTGTGATGAAGACATAAAACAATTTTGAGGAATGCGCCCGCTGTTCACTGCTTTGGAGTAGCTGTAGCTCAAGCTGACTTGACTCTAAGAGTTCTACATCACACGACGGTTGATTGACAAATGGTCCAGNTTAAGAACCAAGAATTAGTTTGTACTTGTCATTGTCGTTCATAACACCAAACAAGTTATATTCAGCATGACGAATATTCCCTTCAAAGTCGTGTAAGTCCACGCGCAGCCTGAAGTTGTTATTTGATGTCAGGCGGTGAATCTTGTCCAGTCCGAGCCAAAATTCACCATGCAGATCACCAAAGCCATGCTTGTAGTCGTTCCAGCTGCGGTAAAAATCAACCGAACCGTTTAGTCTCTTCTGGAACACTGTCCATCCTCCACCAGCTGTTGTTTGGTCACAGAATACATCAAAGGCAGTCAGGTTGTCAGGTTTAAGGGTGTAAATACCATCTCTCTTTTCCCCTTCATTGTAAATTTCAGCACAGGTTTTCTTCATGGCTGTGAATAAATAAGAGGATTGTCGAATCGTTCAAGGAGTAAATTTGATGAACTTTCAAATCTTTTTTTATTTTAACATCTTTCAAAAAAATCAATAAATCATTCCAGTGTCAGTGGTACAATAAACACAAGAGGATAAGTGAAAGAACAGACAATTTAAGTTACCTTGAAATTGGCAGTTTTGTCCAGTGAATTCATCCCGACAGGCACAACGAAAACCTTTACTTGTAAATCAAGCTTGACAGGTACCATCGTTTAAACATGGGCTGCTGCTGCAGCGATTCTATAAGCAAAATCAAAATAAACCTCCTACAGCTTTCCTCTGAAACAAGAGTGAGACCATTTAAGCTGTGAATGAAAAAATGTTACCTCGATTGCAAAATATGTGTAAGCTGGTTTATTCACAAGAAGAAAAGGAGCATGGTTTTCCTTGGTGGCGTTGTTCAACTCGCATTTTTGGTTTCCTCTTGCTATCGGTCCAACATTGATAGACACACAATCAGGCTCCAAATAACACATTACCCTGCAGCTCCCTTCGTTGGGCACCTCCATTTTCCTGATCACGCGATCTTCCATGGCCATGTTTTGAATTGGATTCCTGAATATGATGCTTCGACAATCGTCACCTGGAGAAGGGAAAAGAAGAATTACTCGTTTAGTTATCGCCTAAAAGAAGTACACAAACAACGCTATTTATTACCACCTTAACGTGAAAACTTCAATCATTCTCCTCTCAAGGGAATTTCATCAGGTCGGAAAATTCATTTTTAACTGGGAGGTTTTCTTCATCAAAATTTTGATCTGTATTGGTGAACTAATCAGCGGAAAGGAATTATAAAGAAAATTATCGGAATAATGTTAATTACCTCACCACGATTTTAATTTTCCAATCGGCGTGATCCTTTGATAGATAGAAGGCTTTTTGCAGACACAGTGAAGACACACAGTATCTACTGTCTGTATATGTGTGCATTTGCGACCAGTTGAGTTTAAAGCGTAACTTTATCTTGTATTCCATAAAAGGAGACAGTCGTAGTTAGAAAATAAGTTTTTGCTTAAAGGTTATTCACGCTGATTAGCAGGTGGCCTAGTTATTCTAATGGATACGAGGGAATGGTGCCAGGAAAATAAGACTCAAAA